AACTTGTATTTATAGAAGCACAATTCACAAAAGCTAAATCTTGGAAGCAGCTGATAATGAATGGATAAAGAAAATGTATTTATACACAGTGGAGTACTACTTTGCATAAAGAAAAAAAGTGAATCATTTGTAAGAAAATGGAGGTACCTTGAGACCTTAATATTAAGTGAAATAAATCAGACACACAATGTCTTAAATATTACATGGTTTTCCTTATATGAGAAACCCAGAATATAAAGAGCAAAATAAAAGCCAGATAATAGGAAGCAAAGAGATAGATCTTTTCAAATGGGGAGAGGATTAAGAGATGGGGGGAGTAGAGGGAATGATGAAAAAGAATGGAGCTGTGTGATATACAAGTACCACCCTCACATCAGGAACAAAATCATTACATAATGCAATGTACTAATAAAAAATGAAAACTGAAAGGGGAAGGCATCATATTTAGTGAAATAAATAAGACACATAAGCTAAAATATTGCATGGTTTCTCTTATATGAGAAACTGAAAGTAAAACTAAAAAAAAAAGGAAAAGATAATAGGAAAGAGGGAGATAGATATTTTGCAAAGGGGAAGGGACCACGATATGGAGGAAGGGGGGAGGACAAAGAGGGAAAGAGGTTGAAAAAAATATATGTCATGCTGAATGTAACCATTATGTACTGAAATATATATTAATAAAAATATTTTTAAAAAGAATAGGAAGGCGTGGATGGAACTGCCAATGGAAGTCATGAGAAACAACAGAAAGCATGTAAACACTTTGCAGAACTGGTACAGAGTAAGTGCTCAAGAAATGTTACTATTATTGAGAGTTTACCTTTGAAGGTTCAGATTATCATGAGACCCAGGAAATGAAATGATATGCTATAATTTAGTCTTAGATAGGTAAGTGTTCAGAAGCAAAATCATTTTAGCTACCAAATAAAATAAGCCTATTTGACTGTTTAGGCTATCTAATCATCAATCATCTTTGTGGTTCTTTCAAAACTCTCAATATGGGCTATAACATAGCTTTTAAATTCTAATTATGTCTTGCCTGGCGTGGTAGTACACTCCTGTAATCCCAGCATTTGGGAGGCTGAGGCAGGAGAGCATCACTGTGAGTTTGAGGACTACAAAGTGAAGGTCGAGGCCAGCCTGAATTACATGGAAAGGCCCTATCTCAAAAACAAAAGAAAATTCTAATTATGCTTTAACTCATTTAATGTGGAGAGACTGCAAACTATAGTGGTACTCAGGAAATTCTGAAAACATGCCCCTCAAATGCTAAGGGACAACTGGATTTATCAACATAAGAGTACAGCATTTGCATACATAAAGTAGTGATTATGATCGGGCCCTGTCTTGTAGAACCTCTGTAGTATGTCAGAAAATATTTATCCAAACAAAAAGTTAGGGAAATGGCTGGATGAGGTGACACAAGCCTGTAACCCAGCACTCTGGAAGGCTGAGCAGGAGTGTTGCAAGTTTGCGACCTACTTGGGCAATTTAGCAAGACTCTGTTTCACAGAAAAAAAAATTTAAAAGAGGGTGGGGCTTGGAGTGAAGGCCCTGTGTTCAATTCCCAGTACAGAAAGAAAAGACAATACAAGAGTAAACTACGTGACTCCATTTATATTTATTTATAAACATGGATCCATGGCAATAGAAAAGTAGTTATTTATTTTATAAGAGAGGGTGGTGACAGAGAAGGGCTCCAAGAGGATGGCGGTCCTCTTGTGTACTATTGGTCATGTTCTCTTTCTGTTAGTGGTCTGTGCACTTTGTAATAACTCATTGAACCAGTATGTATCGTATACTTCGTGAAAAGCTCACTTAAAAACAAAAAGCAATAAGCAGCTCAGAGCCCTACAAATAGATACCATGAGCAAAGCTCACTATCATGAACTGAAAAGAAAAGTCATGAACAAAAAGTTATCATTGAAATTTAATGGTGGTAGGCATATCCATGGAATACTGCAACAATTTCATCCCTTCATGAAACTAGTACTATATGGAAGTGTGGAGACAACTAGGGGCAACAGAACAATGGTGGCAGGGTGGTAATACAGAATGTGGAAACAATATCAGCTAGAAGCCATGGAGTGAGATTAAATAATAGCTATTCAGCAAAGAAATCCATGTCTCCTCTCCAAAAAGCCTGTTTCACTATGATGGAAAAATGAATCATGACGGAAAAACGAATCATTTACTTTTTTCTTTTGGGGGAGGTGCCGGGGATCAAACTCAGGATCTTGCCCTTGTGAGGCAGGTGGTGGAACCACTGAGCTAAATCCCCAGCCCTCACTTACATTTTTATATTAAACTTTTTACTAAATAAACTTTTGTAATAGTCCATCCCCCCAAAAAGGCTAGAAATGACAAAAAGAATGTAGGAAAAAGCTCCACAAGAGCTGAAGCTGGTTGGGAGTGATGGCACACACCTGTAATCCAGCACTTGGGAAGCTGAGGCAGGAATATCATTGTGATTTTGAGGCCAGCCTGTAATACACAGTGAGAATCAGTCTCAAAAAACAAAAATTCTAAAGCTGGTGGCTCTGTAAAACCGACTTTTTCTCTGTACATTGGCAATTAAATCTGGTTCAAGACATAATTAGGTTATGGGGCTCCACCCTCATGAAGGATTAATGTAGATCCCACAAGAGTGGCTCAGTTAACCCAACAGTGAGTTATAAAGCGAGCCGGGCATCTCCCTCAGTCTTGTTCACTTACTTTATCTCTCTCACACGCAAGTTTCTCTTCTGCACCCTTTATTCCCTTCTGGTTTTCAAGGAGTAGCATGTGACCCTCATCAGAGTATAACAGATTCCAGCCATGCGCTTGAACCTCCAGAATAAAGAAACTAATAAGCTTCTTTTCTTTATAAATTGCTCAGCCTTGGGCATTTTATTATAGCAACTTAACTTGGACCACCAAGACAACCAGGACAGATGAAATGTTCTACATTATGTTATCTAAAGTCACCAAACAAATCAGTGGTAGAACAGGGATCAAAACTGAGGTATGCCAATTTCAAAGTATTTTTAATTCTTGAAGGAATACTTCTGGGTATACATGGAGAGTCCCAGACATCCAGTCACTTATTATCCTGATTCTTAATGCAATGAAGTTCTAAGAGGAAGCAAAAATAGTCACAAAACAAAATATTTACTAAAAAAACAAGAAAACATAAAATCGGTCCTCATTCAAACATTCCTCCTCTGGCTCAGACCAGCTTCTGTTTCTGCCAATTTCCATCAACTGCCTTTGTCCTTCTCGATGACATTTTTCCTGTGCTATGAGGTTGAACCAAATAAATAATGTAAATTATCTGCATATGAAACTGTGTATCTTGGGAAAGAAGCAAAATTCCAGAAGTTTGTAAAAGTGCTACTGGAGAACAATTTGAATCATATTCAAAGTCACTGATAAAAGGAAAATTAGACAGATTGAGGTCAGTTAAGAACTGGGGCAGAGATTCCTTGTTGCTCACCAAACATCCCCCTTCCCCCACTAAATAACACAACCTTGGTTTTTCAATAACTGTAATGTAGTAATTGTATTGATGCTACTATACTCCACAGTTAAGCCTAAAAATGTATGTGAATCAATTTTTAAAAGCAGGTAGCTAAACATAGTTTCAGACAATTCCCTCCTGAAGTAAACATCCCATGCTGTAAACCAGTTGCATCCTATCCATTTAAGGAATGAGGTAATGCTACAACGTTTCAGTCCAAGTTGAAAACACATAGGTTTCAGTGAGTGGAAGACTACCATTAAGAGACTTCAACAAGTCTGAGCACTGAACTGTTAAACTACCATTAGGGCAGACACTAGTTAAATGCACCAGCAATTTGAAATTAGTGATACTGTAAATACAAGAGTTACATCAAAGAACAGGAATGTAAAAAGTAACATACGAAAGTTAATTTACATAAAATAATTCAGCCATTCATAGATACTTAAGTGCAAAGGCCTGGATAGATCTGTAGGCATTCCCATAGATCTGTAGGCATAGAATCGACAGTCCCAGTTCATAGGGGGTGTACTGTTCCGGGAGCTGGTGAACAAAGACAAGATCCCTGCCATCAGCGTGTGCTTAAAGAAATGCGGAGTTAGCATCTTCACAAAAAATCTTAAATTCTTCTGTTGTTCATACTCTTAGAACCACTAGATAAGCAAACCAGGTTCTGTATATATCCTGCTTTGTCCTCTTGGAAAACAGGGCCATGGGAAACAAAACACATGTACATTTTTCTAAGTAGAGCTCACAGCATCAAAAAGTAACCAAGCGACTCTTCTACGTTTACTGATACATTAAATGTTATAGAATTTTAAAAAAAATAAATAAAACCTCTCTATTGACCATCTCCAGCGTTAAAATCTGTTCTTTTCGTAACCCACCTTTCGCCGACGTGGTGTAGACTTTCCTGAACGTACCACACATCAAAGACAGAACAAAGAAATCCTCTCAACGACAGAGGAACACAGTGTCCTTAGAAGACAGCAACAGTATTTATCCACGAGTGTTTCTGCTCTAAATTAACAGAAGCTGGAGGATTTGTCTTTTTAAACTAGCTCCACCTGGGTAACACGAGGATGGGCTCTGAGGCAACTTGTTTAAGAGTAGCCGATTTCAGGTCTGCAACACTTCTCCCTTTGGGGGATTAGGCCGTGACAACGGGCTTCTTCACACAAGCTCTCACGAAACCTTAAAACAGCTAGCCAATGGAAGGCTCCTGGCCTCACAAAGAGATAACTAGGGCAGAGCTGTTACACAACAAACAGCCCGCGACGACGAAGGCCAGCTCGCTGAGTCTCCCAGGAGTCTGTCTTGGAAACCACATCACTGGAGGACAGGAAGGCACTAGGATTACTCCAGGGCTGCTAAACGCGACTCTGCAAGAGCAGATCAGAAGCGTGCAAAGATGCAAGGCGGGCGAGGCCAAAGGGAGAGGAGGGTCGCACCGCCCAGGTCCCGGCCCCCGCCCCTTGCCCGCCCCCCGCAGAGGCCGTACCTGTTTCCGCATGTTGTTCATGACGCCCATGAACCCTGCCAACAATTTAGCTTCTTCTCGAGCGGCAAGTTTCTTCTCGGTCTTCTTCTTACTGCTCTTCTCCACCCCAGAGGCTGCCATCCTTCCGCGGCTCCGCTCAAGCCCGGGTTCGCCGCGCCGGGAGAGGGGTCGCACTCTCCGGGCTCGCTGGGTCTCTGTTTTTCCAACGCCGCAGTCAGGACTGCGGCTGCGGCATGTAGCGCCCAAATGCCGGGTGGACAGGCGGCCGGCAGCACTGGCTCGACCACGGCGGGACACGGGGCCGGGAGGCTCCTCAGGCGTTCTCAGGGAGAAGACCTGGCGGGCTCCTAGGAATCTAGCAGAGCCGGAGCCGGTAAAAAGCCTACGTCTTCCGCTCGAGGGGGTGCGGCCTATGGCGGGCGTGGGCGTGGTCTGTGACGTCACACCCGGGCGCCACTCCGACCCTTGATGCGCACTTACAGTGGCGGCGGGCGTCGCCTGTGCATTCCCGGGATTTGTAGGTTTCCCGGCCTAGCGAATGTAGCCTCGGAATTGGTTCAAGGTCGCGCGTGCTTTTGCTGGGGCCAATGGCTGACTTCCAGGGTATCGTTTACGTGATTCTCTATTTTGGATGATTGGGCGGTGGAAACACAAATAAATGTCTCTGTAATTTCCCAGAGCATAAGGTTGTTTTCCTCCCTGCGGTTTCAGGACTTGGCGTATTGTGGGAGTTAAGTAAATATTAAATGCTATGAGGGTATCCCTACTTCAAATTAAAGGCTCATTACACGGAACACAAGGTTTATTTGCTTGGGATTTATAAAGTAATATACTGTCCCCTTGGTGTCTCGTTGGTATGAAATGCCTACTTAATAGACTGGCTTATTTTGTTTCAAATGGAGATCAGGTGTCAGGTACAGGAATCTCTGGGCCTAGACTTTCTGAGTATCCTCGGGGCAACAGAACTCAATCCTAGGACTCATGGAAATGCTCTTGAAGTTATAGCTATTTATTATTTTGGGGGTATAATAATGAGGGATTGGGCCGGGAATTTAGCTCAACGGTTCGGTGGCCTGCCTTGCAAGCGCAAGGACCTGAGTTCTAATCCCCGGCACCCCCCCCCGAGGGATTATTTGGAATTATTTTTTATTATGAAAACTTTCTAAATTGCCCAGTAATTTTCTATCTAAATATAAAAGGACTGTAGAGATGTTTTATGTAGTTAATTATTGAAGCATTATATTTTCTCTTGAAAACAGTACAGTATAATTCAAGTGAAGCTAATAAACCTCCATTTTTTTAAACGAATAAGATACATTTCTGGGTGTTATTTTTTTGTCTTAAACTAGGGTTTCTTAGATGTGCTTTAGTTTTTAACTAATTAATAACGAGGATTTACAGTGGACCCTAGCAATATGATTTTTTAAAAATTTGGCTACACGGGGATTGAACCCACAAGCACTCTTATCATGAGCTACATTACCCAGCCTGTGTGTGTGGTTGAGACAAGGTCTCACTAAGTTGCCCATGCTGGCCTTAAATTTGTGATTTTTTTGTCTCAGCCTCCCAAGTAGCTGGGATTACAGGTGTGTACCACTACATCTACCTGAAATCATTTAGTCTTAATGAAACAAGAAATAAGAAAAAATTGATTTACTTTAGTAAATGACCCATGACACCAGAGAATAAAAACTTATTTTTTTAACTTGAAGTAAAAACCTCTTTTTTTTACATTATTTAAATTTATTTTTTATTAAAGATTGGAAACATACATGACAGAAATGAAGATACTAAATAAAAATTTCACATATATATATGACAGCAAAAAAAGGATATGAAATAAAAATTTATGCAACACAGACTGATAATCCAAATACATTATTAGTTTATATGATCTTCAAACATTATGTCCTTTCTCATTTTCTTTTCATATATTTTTAAAATTTTGTATTTACAAATAAAACAAAGTTACATATTACAGTTGAGAAACTGTCCTCAAAATTTTATGATTTATAAACTCCTTGGTTTTATTAATTTGATAAATATCTATGCTTGTCGATTGTATCACTTACATTTTCTAACAAAACTTCCCACAGAAAAGAAATATACTTGTATTTGAAATCCAAAAACAACTAAAAGTTCACATTTTGAAGATCAGATTTTTCTGTTTCTTTTTTATTATATCCCATACTTTTTTTATTATATTTTTATAAGCATGATAGAATTTAACACCAATACATATGTAATATTCTTCCCAAACAAATGACTATGAATTAAATCAAGCATCTAATTTAGAGAAATCATAAGGTTGCCAGAGAAACTATCGATATGCCAAATCTGCAAAATCCTACCACATTCATGACCATGGTTCTCATTTAATAGTGCACACATATGTGTAAAAACATACACCCCACACATATACACAATGCATATTTTCTACAATACAATATATACTTTAGTATAATAAAACAGTGCAGTGATGTGTGGAATGTTTGTGATTTGTGTGATTTGAGAAAAACAAATACCATCTTTGAGGCAGTTGGAGAATTTGTAATATGTACCAGATACTGAATGATATTAATGACTTGTTATCCATTTATTTAAGTATAATTATGATAAAATTTACTTAAAAATTAATATTCATTATCAGTAGAAAATAGGTATGAAGATATATTGATAACATAACAAAATTTGTCTTAACAAATTTCCAACCAAACAAGCTGTAGTGACAGACAGAAAAGGAAGTTTGCAGAAGGCAGAGATGAGAGAGGAGAATGACGGATGGACCTTAATACTTTTCATACTACTCATATATACAGATTTCATAAATTCTCAAATAAAAAAGGAAAGAAAATGAGAACCAAAATAACTCATCAATTTGGTAGACCAACATATAAAATCAAAGATTAATGTGTTGATAAATTTTTAAAATATGAAATGTAAAGCCTGAGATTTAGCTCAGTAGTGCTGCTCCTGCCTAGCTAGAGCAATTTGCCAAGTTTAATCCCCAGCACCAGGGAAAAAAGAAAGAAAAAAAAAAAGAAAAAGAAAAAGAAAAGGAGCATATGTGCTTTCTAACATACGCAATAGGTTGAAAATGAAAATGAATTTATCTCTTCCTCTTGAATTGTTCCCTTCACAAGGATGTAGAATAAAAACCTATTTTTTTAACTTAAAGGAAGTAAAAACCTGTCTTTAATTCTAAGGTCTTGGGAGACCCTAAGAATTCATGATTCAAAAGTACAAAAGTAGATGATGTGATAGAGTGTCATTCTGTAGTGAGGCAAAAGAAAAGGAACAGGGAATAGCATAGTTAGAAAATGGATGTTGGAACAATCCTTTCATATATCACAGGATATAAAACATCAAAATTGGTGGAAAGACCATAGAATTCAGATCCCAAAGAAACCATGAACATTATGTTAGCATGAAAGTTAGGCAAGAGGCTTGCCTAGATGGAAAATCAAGCTTCTCAACTTTTGGCAGACTATTCTGATATAGGGCACCAAGTGATCTGAAAATTGTATTCAAATAAGCAAAAATAATCTAAATAAGAGAAACATAACTCCCAACCTGCTAGACATCTGAAAAGTGAGTTTGTGTTCTCTAAAATCAAAGAATGGATTCTAGGAACAATGGAGGTTATGAGTAGGAAAAAATTATTGAGGGAAGATAGCTTGTTTAAGAGATACAGAAGGGGGACCAGAAAGTGGGCTGCCTGAAAATCCCGCTTTTCAAAAGTGTTTTATAGGGCAAAGCCATGAGGTGCCGTGGGTACAAAGTGGGGCAAAGCTGTAAGACCCAATGGAAAATTACAAGGTGGGCATGAGGTAGGACAAAACCATGATCAACCAATAAGATTACAAGTGCAATCACCCAGGTAATATTGGTTAAATAAGGATCAAATTGGGATAACAAGTCACACATAAAGAATTCCCAGAAAGGGAATGGACCAGAGAGATTGATGCCTATTTAGAATATCAATCACTGCTATTCATCTCTAGGAGAAGTATGTAAGAGTAGTACCTCTTCTCTTTTTGTAATACTAACCAGCGAATGTTCCTCAGTTCTCTAACTGCATTTAGGGGAGAAAGGTAGTTTTTTTTAATCATCTAACTGCTTGGAGCTGAGAAGGGTACATGTGGGGGAGGCTACAGTTAGGGAACCTCTCCAGAAAGCTAATTTAATGAGCCCTAGATAGAAGTTATATTGTAGTTTAGCAATTATGGACTTTTTTTTTTGTTTTGGTTTTATGAGACAGGGTCTCACTATGTAGCCCCAGGCTGGTCTCGAACTCACAGTGATCCTCCTACCTCAGCCTCCCAAGTGCTGGGATTACAGGTGTGCACCACCACTCCTGGCAGTTATGGACTTTTTACAAGATCAATCTGGTGGATCCCAGTAAAAGAAGTCTAGCACATTTGTTCCATCTATATGACTGCTTGGATTTTGACAGCCTCTATGCAAGAATAAACAAAAATTTAAAGAAATTAGAGCATGTATAATCTCAGCATGAACACTAGAATGGAAAGGCAGATTGGGGAAAGAGTCACATTTAAAAACTGAAATGGTGATTACAACCTGTTGGCTCTTAGACTTTATTCATAGAAGTTATCTATAAGTCTGATATTTTATCATAAGTTTCTCCAGTTTTAGCTGTAAGAAGATAGAGATGATTTGAAGGATAATTTTATCTAAAAAATTTAAAAACTATTTATCATAGTTTTTTATTGACCCATAACAGTGGTCAGCTAATGGTGTAGTTGGAAACTGTCAGAGATTGGAGCCCCTTTTTATATCTAGCATTATTATTATATATTGTTATTATATAGTTATATATTATTATATATTATA